AGGTGGTCTGGTATTCCCACCTCTTTCAGAATTGTCCACAGTTTATTGTGATCCACACAGTCAAAGGTTTTGGCATAATTAATCAAGCAGAAGTAGATGCTTTTCTGGAATTCTCTTGCTTTTTCTATGGTCCAATGGATGTTGGCAATTTGATCTCTGGTTCCTCTGCCTTTTCTAAATCCAGCTTGAACATCTGGAAGTTCACAATTCACACACTGTTGAAGCCTGGCTTGGAGAATTTTGGGCACTACTTTGCTAGCATGTGAGATGAGTGCAATTGTGCAGTGGTTTGAGCATTCTTTGGCATGCCTTTCTTTGGGATTGGAATGAAAACTGACCTTTTCCAGGCCTGTGGCCACTGCTGAGTTTTCCAACTTTGCTGGCATATTGAGTGCATCACTTTAACATTATCATCTTTTAGAATTTGAAATAGCTCAACTGGAATTCCATCACCTCCACTAGCTTTGTTTGTAGTGATGCTTCCTAAGGGTCCCCTGACTTCCTATTTCAGGATGTCTGGCTCTGGTGAGTGATCACACTATTGTGATTATCTGGGTCATGAAGATCTTTGTGTATAGTTCTTCTTAGGAACAGATATTATGATTTCCATCCTTTCATCTTGTTATATCTAGAGAAGCACTAACTCCCTTCATGGTGACATCAGATCCTCATGACTAACAAAAAACCTTTTGTAAAACGAGTACTTAATGGTATTGAATTCCCCCTTCACCCAAACCTTATATACTGACTTTTCCCCACTGCCCCAGGTACCTCTCAGAGCTCTCTGAAATGCTGCGTCCCAGGCTGCAGTCCTCATTTTGCCCCAAATAAAACTTAACTCGCAAGTCTCAAGTTGTACATCTGTGTTTAGTTGACAACACAAATGTAAAGGAAATTTTAAATTAAATACAATCCACGGGGAGAAATCCAGACATCTTCTGAGGGAGAGAGAGGGGGAGAGAAAGGAAAGAAGGAGGAGGAGAGGAGAGAAGCAGAGGAGGGCGGCAGGGAGACAGAGGGGAGGACACTGAGGAGAAGGGGAGGGAGAGGCCAGAGCTCCTCAGAGTCTGGACTCACAGCCCAGTTCCCCGGGTGTGTCCCGAAGCAGGGGAGAGCCTGAGCCAGGCCGGGACAGAGCTGAGTCTCCAGGCCTCGTGGCCGTGACCCGGAGCGGTGTGGTCAGCCCCCTGACCCCAGCCTGGCCCTGCTGGTTGTGGGGGCTGTGATCCTGGACACAGTGTCTGAGCGTCTGTCTGAAATGCCTGCGGAGGCGCCACTCAGGACGGACCTGCCCGGCCCCACCTGGATCCAGGTGGGGTTTCCAGGTGGTCCAGGCCCGAGTGGGGTTTCCTGTCTGGAACCCAGAAGCTGGAGGGGTCTGCACCCCAGCAGTGGAGAGGCCCCAGGAGTGCTCAGAGCTGCCGGGGGCAGGCAGAGCTGCTCTGAGACCCAGGGCTTGGCTCCAAGGGGTCCCCTAAGGTGTCTCCCGGCCAGGGTCAAAGCTGGGATGAGCACGTGGTCTGAGTCGGAATTTCAGAGCTGGTGGCTGCATCCCTGGGGACAGAGGGCTGGGTTCTAACCTGGGGCCAGAGGGAAGGACGGGAGCCCAGCTGACCCCTGGGGACTGGCCTCCTCTGTGGTCTCCCCTGGGTGGTCACAGCATCCCCTGGACATGCACTCGGAGGAGGACAGCTGGGGCCCTGCTGTCAGGAAGGATTTCAGGAGGCCAGACTCAGGGGAGGAGACTCTGACCTGCCCGGGTTATGACTGAGTTTTGGGGGTCCTCCTGGAGGCTCTGGCCCTGCAGGCCCTGCAAGGTCATCTCTAGTGGAGCAGGACTCCACAAGACTGATGAACTGAATCGTCTAGGATTGGCGTGATTGTGAGGGGTCAACATTCTAGAAACAACAGGGTGCGCAGGTAGCTGGCACTGGGTCCAGTGGCAGCGGGCAGGGCACTCAGGGCCGACTAGGGGCCTGGGGGATTCGATGGTGCCCACAGCACTAGGTCTTTCATCAGAATCCCAGACTTCACAGGGCATTTCGGGGATGAGGTTAGGACCTGAGGGCCACAGAGAGGTGGTGATGGCCTAGACAAGGCCATCACAGAGAGATCAGGGGCCTTGATAGGATGGCTGTGTCTGTGTCACTCAGGCCCTGTTTCCCCACATCAACACCAAGGTCCTGCCAGCCTGTCATCCACTGCGGACCCCCCTGTGCAGAGCCTGCCCGGAGGGCCGGGAGGAGGGACCGTCTGGGGGGCTCAGCTTGGGGGAACCAGGCCAGGCCTGTCCCTGCTGAGTCCACAGTCCTCCCGGGGCTGGAGGAGAGTGTGAGCAGGACGGGAGGGTTTGTGTCTCACTTCCCCGTCTGTCTGTGTCACTGTGAGCACCACCACTGATATCAGCTGACTGACAGTAATAGTCGGCCTCGTCCTCGGCCTGGGCCCCGCTGATGGTCAGGGTGGCTGTGTCCCCCGAGTTGGAGCCAGAGAACCGGTCAGGGATCCCTGAGGCCCGCTCTCTATTCCCATAAATGACCGTCACAGGGGCCTGGCCCGGCTTCTGCTGGTACCAGTTAGCACCAATGAAAAAATCATCTCCCTGGCAGGTGATGCTGGCCGTCTGTCCCAAGGACACGGACACCGCAGGCGGCTGAGTCAGCTGAGAGGTGACCGCACGAGCTGGAAGAGAGAAGAGAGTGAGTGTGGGAAGAGGGCCTCCTTCTGGGCCCCCCATGCCCCCTGCGGCAGCCTCTGTGCTGAGCTGACGTTCAGGGCCGGGTGAGCCCTGGTCACTTGGGGGCCGCGCCGGGGGCCGCACCTGTGCAGAGAGTGAGGAGGGGCAGCAGGAGATGGGTGCAGGCCATGGTGGACGCGCCCTGAGCTCTGCCTCTGAGCCCGCAGCAGCGCCGGGCTCTACGAGCCCCTTTATTCCCTCTCGGAGCTTTGAGGGGGGCAGCGAGGGTTTGGTTTATGCAAATTCAGCCCCTGGGGCCCCTCACTGAGAGGCAGGGTCACCACACCATCAGCCCTTGTCTGTCCCCCGCTTCCTCCTCGGCTTCTCACGTCTGCACATCAGACGTGTCCTCAGGATGGAGGTCACCGTCACCTCCCCTGTGTCTGACCACGTGCCCGCTGTCCTAACTCCCCCGCCCCCCTGGCCTGTGGTCTCCCCTGGACTCCCCAGCGGGGCGGTCAGCCTGGCAGCGTCCTGGCCGTGGACTGAGGCATGGCGCCCTGGGGTTCACTGTGGATGTGACCCTCAGAGGTGGTCACTGTGTCCTGAGGGGACGGCGTGTCCATCCTGACTTCCTGCCAAGCGCTGATCCTTGGACGCCTGTGGACCCGCAGGCCTGGTTCCCCTGGAGCTCCCCTCGGGCAGCCCCGCCTCTGACCTGCGGCTCCCGGCCGCACGCTGCTGCTGGAGGACGATCAGAGCAGCCGCTCCCCTCCGGCAGGCCACCCCAAGGCCCCTGGCGCCAGAAGGGGTGTGGGCCTGGGAGTGCAGCCCTGCCTCTGGGCCAGCTGTGAGCCCTGGCCTGCCCACACAGAGAGGACCCCTGCTCCATGAAGCCGCTGCTCTAACCCTGTCTCAGGGCAGGAAGGGCTCCGCTGTCCCTTTGGCTTTCTCAGTGGGTGGAGAGTCCAGGATAACTCTAGCTGTAAACTGTCAGCTTCCGGCAACATGTGCGACCCCCCAGGGACCCAGGGTTCCTTGTATTGGTACACCGAGGTTGGCACTAGTCCCACCCCAGGAGGGCGGTTAGCTAATGGGGTTCCTGGCAGTTGAGTTCATTTAAGAACTCAGATCATTTTTATCATCACATCTTCATCACCAGTATCATCACCATCATCACCATCTCCATCATCTCTTCTCTCTCTCTCTTTTTTTATGTCATCACACAGTCTCACACCCCTCAGAGTTTGCATTGGTAGCATTTTCAGTTTAGCATAGTGTACCTTGTTTTGTTTTTTTTTTTAAGGAAACTGGGAGTCTCCTGCTGATACCCCTGGGAACCCGTCCAGAAGTCATACTGATGGCTGAACCCTTGTGTTTGGATTCTTGCCTAGGGACATTAGGAAACCCTAGGATCTCACAATTCTCTGAATCACTCCCATAGTTAACAATACTCGTTGGGCCTTTTTATACTTTAATTTGGAAATATATCCTTGAAGTTAGTACCTACCTGCCCATTTTACAGCAGGTAAAGCTGCATCCCACTTGAGAGCAAGTCCCCAGATCAATGTAGAGAATGGGATGAGCCCAGGTTGGGGCCCAGGGGTCCTGGATTCAGACTCCGGCCGTTTGGGGCAGAACTTGACCAGGGAGGGAGTGCAGCAGGGGGCCTCGTCTTGGAGGAACTGTGGCATCCCCAGGGCTCAGTGCCATCCCCACCGCATCCTGGCTTTCATTAGAAGCCCCTCAGCCTGCGTGTGGGGGAGGCCAGGGGAGCTGTGCTCCAGGTTATGCTGGAGAATCTGTGGGGCTGGGGGGCTGCTGGGCCCTAGGGGTCTGGCCAGGCCCTGCTGCCTCTGCTGGGCAGTGATGATTGGTCCTCATCCTCCTGAGAAGTCATGAGTGACAGGTGTCTCATGGCCAAGCTATTGGAGGAGGCAGTGAGCACTCCCACCCCTGCAGACATCTCTGGAGGGGTCAGTGGTCCTGCAGGTGGTCCTGGGGCTGGGACCTAGGGGACACGAGGCTCAGCCATTGACTCTCAGAGGTGCCAGCTGTGGGTACAGCCGCGGGGTTGGGCGGTGGAGGATACCTCACCAAAGCCAGAGTAAGAGATGTCCAACCAACAGAAACTGACTCACACTCTCTGGTCTGGTACTTTCCATCTTGAAATTTCTTGTGGACAGGACACAGTCCCTGGAGAAAGGGATTTCTATCCTGTGTGTGCAATAGAGCTATAGACACGCTTGGCTGTGATATGTAATCCTTTGAACATGGCATTAAATTCTGTTCACTAACATTTAAAAGGATTTTTGCATCAATAAACATAAGGTATATTGTCCTGTCATTTCCTTGTCTTGTAGTTTCTTTGAGTGGGTTGGAAGGGGTAACCAACTTCACAAATCGAGTCAGGAAATTCCCTTACCCTTCCACTGTCTAATCGAGTTTCATAAGATTAGCAGTAATTCCTCTTTAAATCGCTGCTATAATCATCACTGTGGCCACCGGTACTGAATTTTTTGTTAGGAAGATTATTTTTTTAAATAATTTTAATGATTTTTAATTTTATTTTCGGCTGCGCTGTGTCTCTCTTGCTGTGTGTGGGCTTTCTCTAGCTGTGGCCAGTGGGGGCTCCTCTCGTTGCAGACCACGGGCTCTATGGCGCTCAGACTGGCGTGGTTGTGGCCCGTGGGCTCAGCAGCCGTGGGCACAGGTTCAGCAGCCTCTCAGGATGAGTTTTGCTCCCAGATCGCGGGTCAGTCAACCGGTGTTCCCCGCGTTGCCAGGTGGATCCTTCACTGCTGGACCACCAGGGACATTCCCCAGAGGTTTCTAATTATGGATTTAAGCTCTCATTAGATGTCTCCTCACAGTTCCTCTTCCTTTTTGAGTCAGTTTGATACCTTGTTTGTGTCTGTAAGTTTGTCCACTTTATGCAAGTCGTCTGATGTGTTGATATACAATTGTTGGTTGGTCCTCTAATTGTTGGTTTACAATTTTGAGAGCATTGTCCTGTAATTCCTTCTATCTGCAAGATTGGTAATAATATCTCCCAAGAGGAGTCGCAAACTGAAATGAGATTAATACAGGCTTTTTAAAAATATGAACCTATGTTGTGTCTTTTTCATAGATCTTATTTCTTAGCATGACTGTACTTCCTGACTAGGGTGTTTTCATGTCTGGGTGAAGAGCTACCATTAGTATTACTTATAGTCCAAAGATATCAGCCTCCTGGCCACAGTCAGCACACTGCTTTCTGTGGATGTTTTGCAAACTATGGCGTAGCCTAGAGTCATAAGGAATCACAGCTGACAACTCCTGGAACAGAGGGACATGCTAAGCAACATGAGGGTGGGAACCTGGAGGGTCCTCTCTGGGGACAATCTAACCAGCTAAAAGGGACATTCCAGCATCTGGGACGTGGAGCTGTGAACTGGACCGATGACTTTCATTTTCAGAAGAGAGATCTCAGGAGAGGAGGTTCCTGGGGAAACGGCCAGGTCTGAGGCTGCAGGCAGTGCCTCAGGACAGGGGACACCTTCTCCAGGAGAGCAGGGGGGCCTGCCCAGGCCGCCTGCAGTGATTCCACCAGGAGGAGACGCATCCCTGCCGACCTCTGACATCACGGCCCCTCCTGAGACACAGGATTACACCCGGGGCCCTGGAACCCTTTGAGACCCTGACCCTTTCCTTTCCTCTCCACCCTGACAGCAGCCTAGCTCAGAACAGAGGTCTCCAATTTCAGCAGGAAAACCCAAGGCCCCCGAGGACAGAGCGACTGGCTCTGGAGGAGCCGGGCCAGGAGCAGAGAGGCCGCCTGAGCCTCAGGCCTGACCTGCAGCTGCTCAGAGGAGGCCGGAGCGCCGGGCCAGGCAGGGGGTGTGTGTTTCCCTTCCCCGCCGGCCTGTGTCACTGTGAGGGTTTTAACTGCAGTCACGCGACTGACAGTGATAGTCGGCCTGGTCCTCGGCCCGGATCCCACTGATGGTCAGCGTGGCCATGCTCCCTAAGCTGGAGCCAGAGAGCCGGTCAGGGATCCCTGAGTACTGCTTACTATCTTGATAAATGACCAGCTCAGGGGTCTGGTCTAGCTTTTGCTGGTACCACTGAACATTTTCACTTCCAATGCTGCTCCCCCAACACGTGATCCTGCCCGTCTGTCCCGGGGACACTGACACCGAGGGTGACTGAGTCAGCTCGTAGGAGGACGCAGCGCCTGCAGGAGAGAAAAGGAGGGGTGGCAAACCTAGGGGCAGAATCCCCCCGCCCCGATTAAGTGCCTAAGACTCTTTGGCACCCAGGGCACCCCCGCCCCTCAGTCTCAGCCCCCCTGGCCCATGGGACTGGTGGACAGAGTCTCTGAAGAAGGGAGGACCTCCCCACTCTCCCCTTCCTCTGGCAGGCGCAGCCCTCAGGGCTGACCCAGCAGTGAGCACAGAGGGGGGATTCCAGCCCCTCCAGCTGCCCACCCTGCAGCAGGGCCAGGAAACATCCTGACCCCGTGGTCAGCTCCCACTGAACTCAGAGTCAGGGCCAGGCCTGTCCCCAAGTCCTGGCCTGGGGTGCGTGGACCCTGGGGCTCACCTGTGCAGTGAGCCAGGAGGCCGAGGAGGAGGGGGGTCCAGGCCATGGTGGAGACACCCCGAGTCTGCTCGCCAGGCCCAGGCTGGGCAGGGCTGTTGGGAGCCGCCGGGATGCACCCAGTCCGTGACAAGGTCATGGGATGAGAGAGGAACCCGTAAGGCAGCTCTTCCCCACATGGGGCTGCCCCGGGGACCCAATATGTCCCCTCCGGAGCCGCCGGGACAAGAAAGGAATCTGCAAGGCAGCTCTTCCCTCGAGGTTGTCCCGGGGGCCCAGTATGTCCCTGTCTTCCTTCTGTCTTACTGTTGTTGGGC